TTCATTCTCAGTGCTTCGTAATGGTTCTCCTAAGGGATATTTCAGAGGCAAGAGGGGCTTACGACAGGGTGACCCCATATCTCCATATATTTTCCCATTAGTTATGGACTTTATGGGCAGTCAATTAGATCATGCAATGCTGCAAGGATCACATCTTGTGACTTTTCCTTTTGGATATGACTATGGAGTTTCTCATTTATTCTATGTTGATGATGCAGTTATTTTTTGTGAGGTTTCTTTAGGTGTAGTGAGACAAATGAATTCTAATCTTTCTATTTTTGAAAATTCTACAAGGAAAAAATTGAATGTGAATAAAAACGAAGTCTTTTTCTTTGGAGCTTCCATGACGGTCAAGCATGTCAATTTTGAGGGAATTGACGTTGGGCAAGGGAACCCTTCCAGTAAGATATTTGGGTTTGCCTCTATTTCAAGGCAATCTAAAGCATTATAATTGCCAGAATCTGAAGGAGAAATTCATTGGAAAGATATGAACTTGTCAGGCCTTATCTTTTTGTTATGCAGGCCGGTTACAACTGTTGAAATCAGTACGTAGCTCATCTGCCATTTTTTGGATCTTAGCATTTATATTACCCAGGCGCACATGTAACATGTTAGAGAGGCTTCAGTGGAACTTTTTATAAGCTGGTACAACTCACGGGATGGGGACTCATCTTGTGAAATGGAAAAATGTTTGTCTGCCAATAGAAGATGGGGGACTTGGGCTTCATGATGTGGTGGAATTCAATAATGCAGGAATGATGAAGTTGGCATGGAGAATTTTGGCTAACCCTTCCTCTCTTATAGCTAAATTCTTTAAGCATAGGTATTTCAAAAATAATTCTATCTGGGATGTGGACAAAACTATTTGTTCCTATGCATGGAAGGGCATCCAGATTGGGTGTCTCTCTTGCGCCACAACGTTCAGTGGATCACTGGGGATAGTACAACAGTTGATTTTTGGACAAGCCCATGGTTATTAGAGCGATCCCTTGTAAAAGATTATGGTTCTCATATTCAGAATGACCTGGGAGGTATTGCTAAGCCGAAGGTTTTAGAATATTTGTATAGCAAGCGCGCCCTTTCTACTTAAATGGGACATATGCTTAGAACAGAGAATCGGTGGACTAGACTTTGGAAGGAAGTGAAGGATGCTACAATCCCGTTTAAGCCACAACCAGACTTTTTGGTATGAATTCACTCTTCAAGTGGATTATTTTCAATTCAAGAAGCATGTACTTATATCCATCGTAAGTCCTCTCTATCAATTTTCAGGACATAGTCTTTCAGGTATCATCACAGGGCTAAGTGGTTCTCCTGGCTGAGCCTTTATCATCGACTTCCTACCTCTTTTCTCATGCAGCAGAGGGGCATCACCCTTGCCTCTGTACGCCTTTTTGTCTTTCTAATGATGACAATATATGTCATACGTTGCTTGAGTGTTTTTTTTCACATGGAATTTGAAGATCGATAGCATGGAGATGTGGAAAACATTTTATTCGGGGTTGTTCTATTGCAACCTTGTTAAGACAATAGTTAACATTCAGATTCAAGTCTGATGGCATCAGTAACATCTGGCTCCCTCTTTTCTTCACAACAATCTGGATGGTTTGGGAGGAGGAGGAGCATAATTATCACATGTTTCAAGGAAGAAAACTCTCGAGAGAGTAATTGATCTTGAGGATTATTTCCCATGTCTATGATTTGGCAGATGCTAAGGCTTGGTCCTATCATATCTCTGAGAAGATAATCATTGAGAACTTTCGGCTAACGTGATAACAACAAAGGATCAAGCTAACCAAATCAGTGGCATGGCCGTTTCCATATCCACATCATTTTAAGTTAAATGTAGATGGGTCCTCAATTCGGAATCCAGGGAGAGCAGGATGCCGAGGTGTCACTAAGAGGGATGATGGTTCTTCATTGCTGCCTTCTCTATTCCCTTGGGCACGACTTCTAATAATTCGGCAAAATTCTGTGGTTTAGAAGTAGGTGTTGATTTAGCTATTCAAATGAATTGCTTCCCTCTCCAAATTGAAAGCGATTCCTCCTTGCTGGTTCAAGTTATACAAGGCAATTGCAAATCTCCGTGGGTACTTCACACCAAAGATGCTAACTGCAAGTTCAGACTTGAGAACTATTTATGGTCCATTCCCTATGTTTTTCACGAGGACAATATGGTAGCCTATGCGCTGACTAAAAAAGCTACAGTTTTCGCAGTGGCTACCATTTGGCACTCAAGGCGTTCAGACTTTCTTCACCTCCCTCTACTTCATGATGTGGCACAATTACACTATTGTAAGGTTGTAAGATGCTATGATTGAATTTTTCCTATCTTATTAATAAAAACAGGGTAGGGGGCCTTCTCCCCCACTGACTTACCCAAAAAAAAAAAAAAAGGGTAGATGTATCACAAGAATAAAAGGGAACCCTATCCTTAAATAGAATGCCAAGCAAGTGCCCCAAAAATACAAAATGTATGAACCAAAATATGTAGGAAACAAAGACAATCACATCTTTCTAGGATTGAGAGAGACATTATGTATTTGAAAAACAACGAGAAGAGAATAAAAAAAAAAAACATGGGTGTGGTTTCCATAAGGTTGCAACCTTAAACAATCCAATTAAGGTGCACCTTCAAATTTGATCATAACATATAATTTTGATGTAAAATATTCTTAGGATTATCTCAAAATCTATTTTAATATCTAATTATAAATTTTTAAACTTCAAAAATAGTTAAAATCAAGTAGATCTGTAAACATATGAAAATTTTAAAAATAGATGGACTCGATAATGTGTTGTAAGATGCATTATTTCTGGGACTCAAAATCTTTTTTTCTTTCATAATCATACATCTCGATGTCAAGATGCTCAATTAGAGTTTTCAACATTAAAATAACATTTTTTGATGGATTTTTTAGGTGCATCTGTAGTTCTACATAAAGTTGCAACCTTATATAAACTTCTTTCAAAAAAC